TAACATTGCCAAGGACTATGGCATACAGGTTGAAAGTAGCACTAATGACTGAAATTGATTTTTTCGTCAAAACCATAACCTGGTCTCGTCGTTTTCACTTTAATTTGGAATTGACTAGTGAAATATTTTTTACTCAATGAATACAGTTCACGTTGAACGTTGAGGCTGACAGTCAATAGCCATGCAGTGTATGTATATCTTTAGTAAACTTGCCGACGGAAAGGCGAATATTGGCTGACCAAAACAGCAAGAATTGGCGGACCAAAAGGATTAGAATCAATAAAACACAAAGAAGATTCTAGTACTGTTCGAATAGGTGAATCGTAAGGGAGCTATTTAATTTTGATTGACTACAATAACAAGCATAGGCGACCCCATTTTCCGTTTTATGAATGCTTTTTTTATAAATAAATCATTTTTATCAAAATTCATGTACTTCTGATCTTTGTTAATTAGGTTTTCATTAAAATAAGTATGCTAGAATTAATATAAGAATAAAAATACATATGGAAATGCATCATGTATATTCACGGTATGTAGCTTTATAGGACATAAAAGACTATCTAATTATTGAAATTTTTATTATACAAATCCTTTCTTACATCTAATTAAAAAATTATAGATTTTATTTCGTTTTGACTTTTGTTTAACCATTTTGTAAAACAACGTGAACTTTTGATGTTAGAGATAATAAATTCGTTTAGATATATTAAATATAATATAGTTTATTGAAAGGTTTTCCTGCATTTAAATAATTCGATCGGTCGTCTGTCAGTCGCAGGAAGCAAAGAGCGCTTATATTTTAAACTTCAGCACATCCAGAAAACCGTACCCTGCCAACGAGTTCCGACTCGGATTTAATAACAATTTCATAAGGACAAAGGGACATCAAGCCTACCTTTTTTCACGAAGGGCTTTTGATCATGCCAAACTTCATTTACATCTCCGTACTTTTTTCCACTTTCTGGCGAGCAAAATGTAAAATAAAATATAAATGAAAAAAAAAACCTTTATAATTTAAGCGGAAAACTTAAGCTTTGTACGATTTTTTTTCGGTACAAATTGTTTTAGCATCTGGGTATTCATTCGGGAAGACATAACGACCTTCCAGTCGACAATTAGAGCTGAGAGACAAATATGCTAACGAGCCACCGTAAGTACGCCACTTGCCCCGGAATTATCACTTGGCGGACCCTCCTGCTGCCCCTAAGTGTCTTCAACCCTTATTTGTCTTCCCGCGTCAACCCCCTAACCCTAAATTTATGATTACAAACTACACTTAACCCCAGCGCTGGGTACACATTACAGTTTCGCTTACAATGAATTCTATTGAGAAGAGCTTTTAAACAAAGAGCGTTTAACATCAATGAATAATTTTGCATTACTGCCGAATTGAAATATCACAAACTTATTTACTTATGACATCCTCCTCCCAAAAATAAATCTTGAGAAAGTTTAAATATATAAATGTCAACTGTCTTGCTCTTTCTATTTTTCTTATCCTCTTTCTCCGTTTTTCTTCTTTATTTTCAAAAATATGTAAGATTACAAAATTTAGGGAAATAGAGATAGATTGTCACCAAGCTGATTGATGGATTAAGTAATTGAAACACTGTACACATTAAACAAATCTACAGAAAAGTACATTGGAGTAATCACTAAAGTTTTCGCTATCATTTGACCATGTTCCACAACTATGGACGGTGACAGGCACCGGGGAAAAATTCTAAACTTATATAATATATAATTCATTCGTATTGTTCTCACAATAAAAATGTGACCGAGAAAATCTTATCGTTGTGAGCAGTGTTTTTTATAAGTAGCAAGTTTTAGATGGTAGTTTAATCGTTTCCAACAATTAAACTATCCCATTTGGACACTCTCAACACGAAAGAAAGAATGACACATCTACAAGGAAAACAAACACCTTGAACCCTGAAGATGATCTTAATAACGATCGAAATGTTGGCAGATAAAGAAAATGTTTTTCTAAAACCTACGTCACACCAGAACGCATCTCACGATCTCCGAATTATCGTTTCCAACTTTTAAGGAGGTAAATCATTTTGAATTTAAGCATACCAGTGTTAAATTGTTAATATTTTTAATTATCTTCTAGGTCTACGATAGAGCGGAGGTTTCCTCCATCCGTTAGTTCATGTTTTCTAAAAAAGAACGCAAGAATAATTTAGCCGAGGACAAATGCAATTTCTTCAAGGGATACTACGGGACTGCGGTCTATCAATTTTTCACGTCTTGTTCGGCTACGGATGCCCATGCGTAGAAGAGGAAAACGGCTTTCAATCTCCAAGGGAAAATATTTACTTGACGACGTTTAATTTTAGGCGTTATCTCTGAAATTAACGCCAAATCAAATAGTCATAACAAAGTTAAAGGACAAACCCATGGAAACTGATATGAATATATGTATTATGAATATATTTTATTAACTGAATAAATAAATAGTGACAGGGTAACTTCGGCAAAATGTGACGTTATGCGTATCGGAGTAAATGTATTAATATCAAATGGGAGATATTAATATTGATATACATCTAAAGTCTTGGAAAGTTTTCACACAGCATGAAACGGTATAATGACAAATAAAACTGAAAAAACAGCAATGCGAATTGGTCCCATTTATATAAATATGCATATAATTTGTAAATCAGGTAATTAATACAGCTATGACTCTGATCATGTTATTTTCGGTCAAACTGCTATCAAATTTTCCCCATCTAGAAAATTATTTTATCTTTTTTGTAGGAAGTGTTTTCGAAGGCCAATTGACTTTAAATAAAACGTCAAAACGAGATCCAATCAGTAGAACAGTTCTGCTATGTGTTATGATCCTGATACATTGATGTAAAATAAAAGCATTAATTTTTCTATTTTTTCGAATAGATATAAACTTTCAAGTATTTCAGAAACTGAGAATAAGTTAAATTCGACAGACAACTGGCAAAAAGGATGCTAGGTGGGCCAATGTTAATCCATTTTTAACTTGAATGCTCTCGTTAATATGTATTTTACTTGTTTTGGAATGAGAAGAGGTGCCGGGTGAAAATAGAGTTAAAAATGATCACCAATATTAATGATGGTGTTTCTCCGCATTTGATGCGTTAGACTGAAGAGCCATTAGCCCAAGAATACATGTGTCCAAATGTTTATGATTTTAACCCAGAATAAGCAGTCATCCAGTCACAAGAAACTGTTTTAATCAAACTGGTGGAAATACCGAAGTAGAATAACAAAAAGAAATACACATCACACTAGTTTCAGTTTTTCGGTTAACAAAACTACAGAGATTCACATTTTTAGTAGAGAGACGGGAATACATCTCATTAATCATAGTCGATATGTTTGTCCACAATTATCGATTATATCTCGATGGGCGTAAAACCGAAGAGGTTGTAATAAAAAATGAACCGGTACAATACACTGGCCTAGACCTATTTTTGCAATTCTCACCAAGATTGAGCACTATTCATATCACAGAAGACGTACGGGGAGAAAATAGAGTTAAAAATGATCACCAATATTAATGATGGTGTTTCTCCGCATTCGATGCGTTAGACTGAAGGGCCATTAGTCCAAGATGAATAGCTGCAATACATGTGTCCAAATTTTTGTGATTTTACACCAGAATAAGCAATATGCCAGTCACAAGAAACTGTTTTAATCAAACTGGTGGAAATACCGAAGTAGAATAACAAAAAGGAATACATATCACAATAGTTTCAGTTTTTCGGTTACCAAAAATACAGCGATACATTTTTTTTGGAAGAGAGAGGGGTATACATCTCAACAACCATAGCTGATACGTTTGTCCACGATTATCGATTATATCTCGACGGGCGTAAAACCGAAGAGGTTGTAATCAAAAACGAACCGGTACAATACACGGGCCTAGACCTTTTTTTGTAATTCTCACCAAAATTTAGCACTATTCATATCACATAAGACGTACGGGGTGAAAATAGAGTTAAAAATGATCACCAATATTAATGACGGTGTTTCTCCACATTCGATGCGTTTGACTGAAGAACCATTAGCCCAAGAGGAAAAGCAATGATACATGTGTCAAAATTTTTATGATTTTAACTCAGAATAAGCAATATTCCAGTCACAAGAAACTGTTTTAATCAAACTGGCGGAAAAACGGAACTAGAATAAAAAAAGGAATACATATCACAATAGTTTCAGTTCTCAATGTAATTCTCACCAAGATTCAGAAATGGTCCCAGAAATGGTTTTGATCAGACTGGTGATAAGTATCTACCTAGAATAAATAAAATGTAAATTGTACCAAACAGAAAATGATTCAGTCAACAGGATTATAGCGTTGCTATTATTTGTTTGCCACTGAGAATATTCTTTCTTTCATCAAACCTCTAATAAATTTAACCTAACATTCTTCAATATTTCTATGGCCAGTGATTTTCCTGCTTTGAATGGTAACTGATTTCAAATAGTACGTCAAAACAGATCACACAATAAATGAAATAGTTCTCCTATACGGAAAAAGAAGTTCCAGGAGTTCACTGTTGTAAAATATCGATATGGATTTCTTTTTCCTTTAATATGAATAGCCCCAGATTTTCAGAAACACAGAGTAAGTTAAATTCACTAAGCCACTGACAAATTTAATACATACTTTCAAGCGATGCTAGGCGAATCAAAGTTGTGCAATTTTGATTTTATCTCTCTTGTTATTGTTTCTACCAGTGGTGTTTTTTGAGGTAGCGTTTTATTGTTCCGTGTGATGACAATGCTAATAATTGTCGACGATATCTCTAACCAAGATTATCAGAAGATGGCGTAAAAAACCAAAGTGCTTGTAACCCAAGACGAACAGCTATAGAACACGGGCCCAGATCGTTTTTGCGATTTGTCCACAAAAATTATCACGATTCACCTCACAGTTAACTATTTATTGGAAAATCCCGAGGTAAAAAAATCCCCCCAAAAAACACGATGACTACCGCTCTGGGACTTACTTGTGGGACTACGTAACTCCTTTCCCCTCGGCTCCGGCCACTGACTGCTCTATTTTTACAACGTCGGGACGATCCTAGAAGGATGTGACGTCAGACATCTCCTGAAAAAGACAAGTCACAGGGGGTAAATACTTTTTGGTCGCACTTAGTGTCAAAGCCGAAGCAGTTGGATTGCTTAAATGGAGATAAACACAAACTGTCATCCATGAACGTTTACATAAGGGAGAGGCGTTAAAATTCCTAACTATAGAATCACAAAAAGTCGATTTTCTCCTGTCTTTTATTAAAAGCCGAAAAGAATTTGAATCGAAGGAACTCGGCTTACAATTTATTATAACGGAATACGGCCCGGACTCTTTTTCATGAGGTAGATCTAGCAATAACTATAAAAAAGACACTTTGACAGATCATCTTGATATCTCTTCTGGACCCTAACGTTTATGATCAATCAAGATAACTATTGCCGCAGAGCGAGAGAAAGAATTTTATCCCAAGACCACCCGGAGACACTTTTTTTCGTCACTCAAATTCATTTACTAATTGATAAAGCTTTCAATTTTGGTAATGGGCCTTTTCAATACAGACCAGTATTCCGCTCAACGGGGCCCGCTTGTTGTATTATTTTATTTAACCGATCAAGAAATAAAACAATGTCGGTTTAATTACTAACCATCAGCATTAAATCAAAACAAAAAAAATTTACAAAAGAACTAAAATATTCCTATAACAAAAATATTCCTGTACTACACAAGAAAGTACTAAACAATCTCATTTTGTTTGAATTAAATAACCTAGAGAAATCAATGCTGTTTCGGAGCATTTAAAATTATTTAAAATAATTCTATTCTGTTTATATGTACTCTTCAGCGGGAAATGGTACAATCAAACGTTAACCAAAAGTTTAAACAAGTGTTAACAAAATGACGAAGGCTTAAAATATAATATAAACTATAATCATAATTTAATAAGTGCCACAGGACTTGAACTCAAGTTTTAATCCATTTAAGTTTTAGTGGTCAATTGGTCAAGTAACTTCTTTCAATTAATTGGAGAGTTGGTGTCCCAGAGAATTGAAGTCACGATAGCTCAAGTGGTAGAGCAGCGGCGTATTTAGCCAAAGGTCGTGGGTTCGAATCCCGCTCGTGATACCGACTTTTTTATCTCAACTAAGACCTTACATAGAAAGAATAATTAATTGAATCAAGTGGTAATGTTCAACCGTTGTTGCTAATTGGTTAAGGTTTTAAGCTATTTTAATTTTTTGGGATTTCTCCATGTTGTCTGCAGGGTAATGAAAACCTCTCAGGGTTGGTCTGTAAAACGCGTTTCAGCATTTCGTCATCTTTATTTCGGATCTCTACGCCGGAGGAATCTACGGCTTCGTCTTGAGGTCTACGTGGTGATGACCCTGATCGGAGGGAAATCACGTAAATCTAAAAACCCGCCCAAGGGTAACGCTACTGTTAATGCTGACAGCGGTAGAAAGTACGCCTGTTTTGGGGGAGGCAGGGCCATGGCAAGGTCAACCAACAAACTACTTTGGTGCGTCTGATGCGTTGTTTGCTCTTGATGGTTGCGGGTAGTTAAGAATGTAGAACTTATTTGGTGTGAAGAGAGACAGGGTTGAGAACACGAGTTTAAATAGGGCAGACCGACTCGGAGCATCCAAGAGTAGCGTACAAGAATAAACCACGCGCAAGGTAGATGCAGATATACTGTTCATTCAATTGTGGTTAGGGGTCGAAAGACCGCTTGCATAGGTCGAAGCACTATAAAAGACGATAGTTGCAGCTTAAAAAACCTTGCATCCTTCCCAGGACATCCACAACCTCAGGGAAAGAAAACGCAAGCGACGGTAGGCAGAATAAAACGATCAGAAACGACCAAAATATTTTCTTTTTTATTATACTGTTATATCTTTTATCATATTCAACTGGTTTGAACTTTCTCTCATTATAACCACAATTTTTTATTAAAAGGACTTTATCAGTTATCACATATTTTGATCGTGATTTCACCGGATGTTTAAATCAAAATTAGTTTTTAGATCGTATGCTAATTAGAAAGTTCTGCGTACATTTCATATTATAGAAATTCTCGAAATGCTCTTATAATTAAACAATGTTGTTAATTATAAAGTCATGTAGTTAAAATTAAACAAGGAAAGGATTGACATTACTGGGAAATGCATTGAATGTTGATTAAGCTGGCTTGTCAGGTAGAATTTCTCTTTGTCAATTCTCATTTAACTGGGGGTGAGAAATTTCAGTCCCCATTATGAAATTTGCGTTTCCTATGCGTTTCTATTGTTAAAGATCCGCCAGTGATCTCTATCCGATTTCAGGACAATCTTTCCGCTCGGAGCGTGTTTCCGGCTGAAATAAAATTCGGCCCGGGATAAGAACCACCTGCTGGAACAGGTTGGAAGGGGGAAATCGCTTTTCGGCGAAATCCTCGAACCTTTTATCAGAAGGAGCATTTCCTTCTCCAGAGCAGAAATCCTGATAACGCATTGATAAAAGAGGCGGGGAGGAGTAATGTTTCGTTATGAACGGTGGAAAAAGCCGGTTGACTAACGGGTAGGAAATATTGTGGCTGGGGGCGGAAAGGAAGGGGTAATGCACGAGGCGTGTTGGGAATAACAAGACTTGAAGCTGATTGAATGGTTTGATTGGCATGGGAGAGAAAGAAAAATAATGCAAGAGAGGAAAATGTGAGCAGCACGATGCTCGCCACTCAGAAAATACTACTTTTTCATGACCCGAAAATGTCCTTCCTAAAAAAATAAACAAAAGATATTAGATTCGAGATAAAAGCGCTACTATTCAACAGCCGTTTCAGTTTTAGTTAACCTACTCTTTAATCAATCTTAATTTCGGTTGAAGATTTAACTCCCGAAAAACAATATTTAAATAATTCTCTGAAACTCATAAAAATACTTGTTAAATTGAAAACATACATTTAAATTTTTGTCTTTTGTTTGGCACAGCTTCAAAAAGAACGATAAAAACACTCTTTCCTATCTTTTTACGAACGAAGATAAAACGCTGTATGAAAACTAGCCATATGCTTATGCAAAATATAGTTATTTTAGAGTTCGTATTAATAAATTAACTTTTATAATAAAAAAGATGTACAAAGTTATTATTCAGTCTGCTGTACTTTTCCCTTTTATATTTCCTTTCATTTAATTGCACTTGAATATGCGGTAAATATTTGTAACCAAAAATTTAATTATTTCTCTTTGTTTTTCTGTTTCCCTTTCTCTCTCTCTTTCTCTCACTATCTCAATTTCTTTTGCTCTATTTTTTCACCTCCTTATTTTTTTCTCTTCCTATTTTCCTTCTTCCTTCCATCTTTTAATATTTTTGTAATTATAAAGAAACACTTTTTATTGCGGTTATACATTCCTTTAAATATCTGTTTTTGTTCTGTATTATTCTGCTCTTTCACTCTTTCCTTTTATTTCTATCTTCCTTTCTCTTCTCCACCTTCACTTCCTATAATTTACTCTCTCTCACTCACTCACTCTCCCTCTCTCTCTCTCTCTCTCTCTCTCTCTCTCTCTCTGTCTTTTCTCTCTCTCTCTGTCTTTTCTCTCTCTCTCTCTCTCTTTCTCACTATCTCAATTTCTTATCCTATCTTTTTTCACCTTCTTATTTTTTTCTCTCCCTATTTTCCTTCTTCCTACTATCTTTTCATATTTTTATAATTACGATGAAACAATTTTATTGCGGTTATCCATCCTTTTAAATATCGACTTAAGGGACATCGGTGGCCGCAACGGTCTAGGCGTTGACACGGCGCTCATGACAGTAAGGTAAAAGTTCCAGGTTCGAATCCAGCGGCCCTGCATCAAAACACCGACACCCCGAGGGTTCATTCAAGTTGAAATACCCTAGTATAAAAATTCACTTCCTAACTTTTACACTTTCCCTCTCTCTTCCTCCAAGTGAAAATTGTTAGAATTTGGTTTTATCAAAGTAACAATAACTTCAATATTCAAATAACCACCTCTGAGAATGATAAACAAGAAATGGCAATAAAAATGCCGAGATAAACGATGAAAGAAAAAATTTGAACTGTTTATTTGACACAGACATATAGATAGACACTCTTTCTGTTGTTTTTCTCTCTCTCTCTCTCATTCTCTCTCTCTCTCTCTCTCTCTCTCTCTCTCTCTCTCTCTCTCTCTTACCGCCTGATTCTTTTTTTTCTACCGAATATGTATCTGTCTAGCACTATCCATCTTTATCTATATTCCATTCTTTCCTCTCTCACTCTCTGTCTGTCTGTCTGTCACTCACTCACTCTCTCTCTCCCTCTCTCTCTCGCTGCCTCTCTCTGTAATATCCAATGAACTGCAAAGATGCACCCTCGTACAATTATAAAAACAAAATGGTCCGTGATCTACCTGTTTTCTATCCATCCGACCAAAATGATCTCTCCTTCTCTCTTATATCTCTTAAGTTTTCCCCCCCCCCCAAATGACCAACAAAACGTAGATAGTACGAAGGCTAAGTGGGACTTTTAACATAATTCTAATATTCAGAGAGCAAAGAAAACTAAAACTAAATGCACCCTGCTATATGTAGTTTACACCAATTTGTTTACAATGCTGTGTAAAAGAAAATACATGAAATACTTTATTATTATATAATAGTTATTATTAACAAATAAATTTACAATTAGCATGAAGAATATTGGATTTATCTAATATATTAATCTATCTATTTATACTACCATTTTAGTTTATTATTCATCTTCATTCACTCACTCACTCTCACTCTCTATCTATCTATCTATGAATGAAACACTGAATGTTTTGTGCTACTTCCTTATATTCCTTTTTTGTGCCAGATTGTGTAGGTGGTGTGTGTATCAGGTTGACTTTTAAATAAACAATAATATTTTAAGTATCTATCTATCACTCTATGAATGTTTTGTGCTACTTCCTTATATTCCTTTTTCGTGCCAGAATGTGTAGGTGGTGTGTGTATCAGGTTGACTTTTAAATAAACAATAATATTTTAAGTGGAAAGATATGTAGCTTATAAAGTGGAACAATATTACCAATTTAATCCTTCTGTCATTTCTATTT